CATAATCCATCATACAAAATGTAATCAAATGGAAAAGTCTCTTTTTAAAACTTGTTTTATTAGTTTTAATCTTTTAACTTTATGCATCAAGTAAAAAATAAATTATATGCAACATTCTCTGACTTGAAGAAATTTGTTTAAAATTTAAACCTATTTTCTGCACATTCCTGCACATAAAATAAAATATTTTTGTGTGTTTACACTCAGTCTTTCAAATAGATGCAAGTAAAATACAGCAGAAAATAAATAAAATCAAAGACTCAGCGGTCCTGTTGCTCTATTTTCACCTGTAAAGCAGAGTGGCGTCGGCGGAGGTTTACCCTGGTGCAGGTGTGCTGCAGTGGTCAGTTGAAGAATCCGCGAGTTTCTCTGTGAGTTTCCCATTACGTGATAGCGCACTCAGTGCTTGCTTGGAAGTTTAGGGTTTTTATTCGCTGTAAAAAGAAATTTTCTTCCCACGCACAACAGACACTAATGTTTTCATCACTTTTTATGGAATCAAACTTAAAATAAGGTCAGTACCTCCACGCTTTAAACGCTGCACGCTCATACTCTCTCCCGCACTCAATTTATTATCCATTGTTGATCTGCACACAGCTGTTGTCATGAACGTCGCACTCGCTTACGTCACTGTCATGAGACATTGTCGCAAAAAAATCACGGTTTCAGTAACGCAGTAACACACGCAGTGTTATGTGGATATGTGAATTAATTCTAAACCAAACTAGTTATTCATTGTCCTGTAAATTAATTCCTATATTTAAAGACAAATGTAAATGCAATGTTATGTAAAAGCATCTACACTAATATGGTTTATATTGCCACTGTGTGGCTGTAAGTGCTGCCATGACATACTCTCATCTCAAGGTTAAGTTCTTTATTACTTTTCTCACTGGGAATAATACGATGAACTGGCCCCATCTGTGATATTTCTATTATTTAATTAATAATATCCATAACTGCTGATGTTATTTTTTTAGACATTCAAAGTTACCACATTAGTTAAGTTTGCCAGTCACTGACTCACTGGAACTATACCAAACTGTTATGTGCTTACAGTAATAACAAGGTTTGTTGTTCGTTTCTGTGTGAAATAAAAACAGAAGCCTTTGTTGTCTCAGGTCAGTCAGAGGTGATTGGTCCGAATCAGCCAGTTGCTGCAACCGTTGGTGATGACATCATTTTGCCATGTTACCTCTACCCAACCATGGATGCTTCAGACATGACTGTGGAGTGGAGTAGACCTGACCTGGACCTCAGATTAGTCCATGTGTGGCCGGAGAGACCTGAGTTACAAAATCCATCCTACAAGGGCAGAACATCTCTGTTTATTAATGAAATGAAAAATGGAGAAATTTCTTTGAAGATCTCCAGAGTAAAGCCGTCTGATGAGGGAAAATACAGATGCTTTGTTCCAGACCTGCGTAAAGACTCTAATGTTCAACTTGTTGTTAGTAAGTGGATGTCTAAGTTCTTTAGCTTCTTCTATTAAGAACAATTCATTTACTATTAAACATCAGCTAACATTGGCTAACATTAGGCAAAAGAATAGAAATGAAGTTACCTGAAAAAGCCAAAATCTGTCTGTTAGGTTTTGTATTGTTGATTGTCATTTATGCTTAGAAATATTTAACCATATATGCTTAGAGGTGTATAATCAATTGTGTAGTGATAGGACTGTGATCTTTAGCAGGCTGCAAAGGCTTGGTGTGCATTCTAGAGTGGAATGCACACCCACATCCTAGGAGCATAAGAGAGGTCCTATCTTCTCTTT